TTCCCCATGCACATTGTCTCATTTAATCCTCATAATATGCCCACGGGAAAGGGTATTACTTCTCGTCCTCTCTTTACGAGAGGGAAGCAAAGGCTCGCGGTGCTTATTTAACTGAAGTCCAGGCTTCCTGATTCCTTCGACTTGGTTATTCCAGTCTTGTACTGAAATATGCTAATACAGCCCTAACCTGGGTTCTAAGTTAGAAGAAATACCCTTGTTTTTAAGTTGAATTTTTGCCAACGTGAATCATCCTGTTTTACTCACCTGCTGGACTTTGTCTCTTGGAAGCAGGCTGAGCAGCTGCAGAGGCCCAGGGCGGGGAGGCCTCTGCCCGTGGCCAGCTCCTCCTCCCTGCCCACACAGAAATGCTCAGAGAATGTTGTTCTCTCTTTTATCCAGAACAGTAACACGCGTACCTGGTTTAAAAACTTCGGAGAGTGTAAAAGGGTTCGTTCCCCACCCCTCACCGTGCTGTTCTAGTGCCATTACTAGAGGCAAACTCAGTAACACTCGTTTCTTGTGTCTCCTTCCAGAAATGTCCTCTGCACCTGCAAATGTTATGTTGCTGTCCCCTTCTCTTCATACACACAAGGAGAAGGACACTATAAACTCTGTCCCGCAAGTCATTAACAGTACAGCAGAGCTTTCTCTGTATCAGTCCTTGTACACGACCTCACCCCTTTCGGTAGCTGCTTAGCCTTCCATTGCCCGACCGTCCATAACGTAAGTTGTCTCCTGATGACGGTCATGCAGGTCATGTTTAGTCCTTTACCAGTCACAGCGAGGTTTCGCCAAACATCCTTGTACATGTGTCTTGGTGCACACGTATAGGTATGTCTGGAGGGAAAATTACTGGGAGTGGAATTATTTTATTCTTAAAACTCCTAGCATTGAATATTCTACAGAATTTCTTAGTCACTCACTAAGTTCTGTCCTAAATCCTACTTACTCGAGAGTAGAGTGTTTGTTCTCAGTCTGCAGCTTTAAGGAAAATAAAGTCCCCTATCACCACTGTCTTTTTAATGTTCTGTGTTTGGGAAGCATATTGAGTTGCCTGCACTCCAGCGTTCCTTCTCCAGGTTGGAAAATCTGAGCTTATTGTCCTCTAGGTTCTGTTTATAGATTTATAGTCACCATTATTCCTTGCAACCAGAATCTCTTTAACTTCACAAATGGGCTGAGGATCTCGGCTGCATTATTGTGACGCATTTGACACCCCTCGGAGCGGGGCTTTGTTGCATGGAAACGGGAACTCCCCCAGAGCAGGTGTCTGTGTCTGGGCCCTGATCACTCAGCTAAGCTGGACAAGGAGCTGTGTGGCCTTCCCAGCCACCTTACTCAAGGGGGATTAACAACTAGAAAGGCTGTGGGGCGCTCAGTCAGTGTCCCCAGGAGCTAGCCCTAGTGCTGAAACAGGGTGGTGCTGGAGGTCCCCGCTGAGCCTGGTCCTCCCCAGAAAGAGAGGCCAGGGTGGCTGGTGGGCGATGGGGCCCTGGAGGTTTGCGGCCACACCAGTCGTCTAACCAATATGGACATATTTCAGTTTTTAACGAGTGTGGCGCCACAGGGACTTGCCCGCTGAACATCCGTCCTGGTCCTCGGGGAGGCCTGGTGACCTGTGATGAGGTTTCAGAAAAAGCCCGTTGGTCTGTAGTGGGAGCCCAGTTTGAATCATACCTGCGCCTCTTATTAGCTATATTACCTTCAGCAACACCTAACACTTTTCTTGTCTCCAAAGGAAAGCATTCACACACCACATGATATCTAGTGCCTCTTCTTGCTCTAAAAGTGGAGGAAATAAAACAAAACAGTCAAGGGGGTGAGAGCCGAACCTGAACTTTTTCCCTAGCATTTTATGTTTCTGTTGTAATGACGCCTCTTTCCTTTCTGACTTCCCCATTCCAAGAAATGGAGTGGGGGAAGGACCCAAAGGAAGAGAAACTGTTGTTTGGCTTAGATAGCAGGGGGCACATTACAGAATTGTGGGAGGTGGTGGGTCAAAAACAAGTTCAAACCCTGACGTGGCCACAATGATATTCATTTGTTAATCTATTCATTCACTCACTAAGTATTTCTGGAGCCTCTCTCAAGTGTTGGGCACTGTTCTGGGCTTTGGGAATAGAACTTTGAATAAAGTAATGTCCCTGCTTTCTTGAAGCTTACATTCTGGAGGAAATTGGACCTTAGTTTTCCCGCCTGTGAATCCTTTAAAAAAAAAAAAGATTTTATTTATTTATTTTTAGAGAGGGGGGAAGGGAGGGAGAAAGAGAGGGAGAGAAACATCAATGTGAGAGAGAAACATCTAACTGTTGAGTTTCACACTTGCACGCGCCCCGGCCAGGACCCAATTCTCAACCTTCGCATGTGACCTGACTGGGAATCGGATAGGTGGCCTTTTGCTTTGCAGGATGACACCCAACCAACTGAGCCACACCAGTCAGGGTCTGCCTGTGACTTCGTTCTTGGCGATTGACACTGGTTGTTAGTCCCCATTCTGGTGCCTAGGAGGGCCATCGCTAACCAATTACGGCACTCCAGGCAGCCACAGTCAGCTACAAGAAAATAGGCCTGTATGTTTTCCTAGGCTGGATGAATCCAGAAGTCCTTTCCTGCTACAAAATTTCATTCTCATTAATTATTTCTAATTAAATGTAAAAACCCTAACAGTGAGGGAAAATTGCAATCATAGGACTCTTGAAGATTTCACAGGAAAACTCCCATCACTTTGGTTTCGTTGGCTACAGAAGGTATATGTTCTTGTAAAATGATTTTAGATCTTTGGGTCTTAGATTTTCCCTCCATTGTCCTTTGTTGTGAGTTCTCCGCTCAGCCTGCTTGACTTTGATCCCCTCATAAGGAGAGGCTCTTCTGCATTCACGTTTCATTCCTTTCCCTTTGGAAATCTCCTTTGTGAAGCCTCCCTTTGTGGGAGTCAGGTTGGGCAGAGTCCAGTCCTGCTCATTCTGATAACCGCTTCTCATGCGTGCTGGATACCTCAGCAGCACTCACTAGCAGAGGGCCTCCTGGGAAGCGGGGGCTCCTGTGGCCATCTGGTCTGTCCTGTCCTACTCGGCGCCGTGGCAGCCAAACCGGGGTTGGGCTGATTTCAACCTCTTGGTGATTTTTTTTTCCCCTCCCAGATTCCAAAGACGCACTTGCTGTACTTTCATTTGCGATTCCCCCTCCCCGCCCCCATTGCAGGCCAGCAAGTCCAATGTGCTCAGATTGAGCTCAAATTGTAAAGGAAAAAAGTTTGAAGTGTTTCTGTTGGAAAGGAGAACGCCCCCCTTTTGGGTTTCCTGTGCATCTCTACATAACAAAACCGGTAGATTTGTGGGCACTGGGGAAAATTTGGCTTACTTAATTCTATTCGATATACACACAGAAAGCTGAGATTATGAAAACTTTGCTCCTATGATTTCCAAGTGATAACAAACCAGAAGTACCTCTCCCTGTAATAAAACATTTTTTTCTCACAGAGAAACGAGAGCTGGACAGTCAGCATCCCAGGCTGAGCCTCCCAAAAATTGTGCCCTTATTGGCACTTGGTCACCTGCACAGAAACCAACCCTTCTGTCTCCAGGAAGCCCAGGGAAATAGATTGTTTCCACCATTTAATAATGGATGTTTAAACCAAAGAGCATTTTATTTTATTTTTTTAAAGATTTTATTTGTTTATTGTTAGAGGGGAAGGGAGGGAGAAAGAGAGGGACAGGAGCATCAGTGTGTGGTTGCCTCTCGTGTTCCCCCTACTGGGGATCTGGCCTGCAACCCAGGCATTTCCCTTGACTGGGAATCGAACAAGCAACCCTTTGCTTCACAGACTGGCACACAATCCACTGAGCCACACCAGCCAGGGCAACCAAGGAACATTTTAAAGAAAGAGAAAAGTGATCTTTATTACTGGATTGAGTTCAGTAAATTCCTTTCTTTTTGAGGGGAGGGAAGCATAGGAAATAAGAAATTGACGTTAGCCTTGTTTAAAGCAATAAGTATTAAATACAGATAAAATAACTCAGTTCTCCCTTTAAAATTTGTTATGGGCACCCTCTTTTCTAGAGCCATAGAATTCTCCCACATTCACATAATCAAGTGGAAAGCTCTCTCTCTGTAGTTTTAAGGGGTATGGTTAGTAATATTCGCGTAGGGTATTATGTTGAGTATAGTAGGGAAGTCTGCCCAGAAGAAAAGAAAACCCTGCAATTTTAAGACCAGGGATTCTGAAACCAAACTGCTTGAGTTTGAATTCCCAGCTGCACCTCTTATTATGCAAACTTCTCTAAGGCTCAGTTTTTTCATCTATTAAATGGGGATAATAATAGAACCCCTCTCTTAGATTGTCGTGAAATTAAATGAGATTTTTCCTGAAATGTGCTTACAATACTTCCAGGACATAGTCTACGTGTTAAATAAATATTAGTTATTATTTAGGAAGCTACCCCTCCATTCCTTCATCTGTAAACTGGGGATAATAATGAGGATTAAAGGAATTTGTGTATGTTTTTATGCATGTCTGTATTCAGTTATTGTGTTGCAGCATTGTGGACCATAGTGTGTGCTGCTGAAGTGTTCACTTACTCTTATGACAAATTCAAAATGTTTTTCTTAACATTAGAAAGGCAATGTGTAAAATGGTTGAGCGCCTAGAAGGTGAGCTCGAAATGCGACAATTGGGTCTATTGCTTGTTAGCTGCGTCACCTTAATCAAGTTACTTCCCCTCTCTAGGCCTCGGACTTCTCTGTAGAATGGGACTAACAATAGAATCTAATTTATTGGGTCGCTATGAAAACTAACTGGGTTTTCATAGCTCTGTGAAGCACGTAGCACGGGTGCCCGGCATACGTGTACACTGCGTGTTGGGTAGGTGTTTGCTAATATCTGCAGACTGTGTCACTTCAGCGGTTGAGTGGAGCTAGGCAGAGGGTTCTGGGAAGAATGCGGTTTGGGAAGTGGTGCTTTTCCTAAGATCCCTGAAAGGCAGGCGTCTTGTCGTTTGCAGATGTGGTCGCCCTCCTGGGCTTTCTCTATGCCTCCAGTGGAGAGAACACAGGCATTGTGAAGAAGTTGCCGAGGTTTCGGAACCGAGAGCTGGAGGCCACCCGACGGCAGCGGATAGATTACCCTGTGTAAGAACGGGCAGGCAGCGGGGCGGGGTGGGAGGGGCGTGGCTTTTTCTTAATCTGAGGACCAGAGCCGGCTGGTGGCATCCCTTAGCAGGACAAACCTTTTGTCATAGGCTTTGAAAAAACGTTGAGACCTACATGGCTTCAGCAGAATTTGTGGACCCAAACACCTCGAAGCCTTCTTGAGTTATTCTTGCACTTAGCGATCCTCAACTTGCCTTAGACTTTCCATGCCACAGTCCCAGGAAAGACACAAGGCGGGGGGCAAGGCGTTGAAGCCTGAGGCCTCGGCAGGGTTTCAAGTGCAACCAGCCACAGCCAGCACAGACTGCAGCCTCTGTCCGGCCTTTTCTGTCCTGGAAGATTGGGTGAGCTGCTGGAAATCTCCCCACTTCTGATCTTCGTTGATTTCAGCAAAACCCAGATATATATATATTCTTTTTTCCCTTCTGCTGAATTAAAGATGCTAAAAACGGTTCCTGGTTCACCTCAGACTGGATGGATTTAGCAGAGTGATTTAATTCTTCCCATGCTGCTGGCTGTAGAAAGATCTTGAGTCATTTTACTGAGCGTATGTTCTTGCTAAGCTTCCTTGTAATAACTTATCTTCATGAGCTTGCTCAGCTGGGTGGGTCAGGAGGGAGCCGTGTGGCACCATCTGTCTGCGTATCTTACCACTGGTTTGGAGGCCACATGATAAAGCCCAGAATATTCTGAAGGACTTATTTGGTTATATCCCCAAAGAACCTGAGGCCACTGCCCCTTGAACCCCAAACTGTGAAGTGGTTACTGGGGTGACAGAAAGAGCTCTGTGCACTTGTTTTGACCTTGATCCCTCTTTCTTGTGCAAAATGCAGTTACTCCCAGTGTCTCCCTCCAAGCTGCTGGTTACTCACACAGTGTGTGACACCAAGCACGTGTTCAGCAAATATTTGCTGAGTGATTGGTGGATCATATATCTTGGCTAAATCTGTCCTAGTTAGGTTGATGATTGTTACTTTATTCTCACTCCACAAATCAGAGATACGCAACATCTTTTTTTCAACTAAAATAGCCCCAGTGCAGAAATGGAACAATTAGATTAGTTGTTCCATGTCAGTCAGCCAGAACTGTGATGTTCAACCTAATACATGCCTTAAAATAGTATATATGTGTCCCAGTTAGTATTATAGTGATGCCATGGCAGATTATGACATTTTTTCTACCTTGCGCTTTTATCTTTGAAAGCAACAAAATTGCTCAAAAAGCCCTAATTATGCTTTTTCCTTTAATCACCGAAATTAGAATAACTTCTTATCAAATCACCTCTTAATAAACTCCAGCTTTTCATTCTGTGTCTGGCTTTATAAACCTTCATGAAGAATTCGAACTATGGGCACATGAGATTCTCATAGGGCACAGAAACAGAGTTCTGGGTGCAAGGAAAAATGTCTGCTGGCTCTGTGCAATGGTGCTTAACTCCTGTCTGTTACAGTTACTATAACTACCTTTGTCTCAAAAATCAAGCTCTGCAAGCTGATCTCCCATGATGAACACGAAGGCATACTCATCCTTTCGTTGGGAAGAAAGCAATTTACTTGGTCATTGTTAACTATAATTACCTGTTCTGGGATGATATCAATCTGCAGAATTTTTTTCCCCTCACTCTTCTAGGTTTACTGTTTCATTGTGGCTTTATTTACTCCATTATTGCAAGGCCAATCTCTGTGGGATTCTGTACTTCGTGGATTCTAATGAGATGTACGGCACACCTTCTGTTTTTCTTACCGAAGAGGGTAAGTGTAAAACGGAACCTTAAAATGATATATTGTCATTTTCGTAAGCTCTGTCTATGAGCAAGTATGTCTGTGTAGAATAAGGAAGATACTGTCAACACAGCAGTTTAGTGAGAGGGATGGTTTTCAAATGTGGGCTTCAGGTTAAACTTTTATTTTTCCCCTGGAAGCTTAAAATAACTGTCTTCTTTACAAAGGAATGCATTTATGTGATTTTTTTTTTGCTTTGTTTTTGTTTAAAGGAAGAGGGAACACAATCTAGTTTGGTAGTTCCTTAGGACAATTGTTGAAAAGGGGTAGCCACTTCATTCACTCCTGGGCATTTTTTGTCATTTTCATAGAGGTTTAATTTTCCTTTTAGGTCTCTTGCATATTCAGATGCATCTTGTCAAAGGAGAAGACCTTGCTGTAAAAACTAAATTCACGCTACCTTTGAAGGAGTGGTTTCGCCTGGATATCTCGTTTAACGGAGGCCAGGTATCTATGTGTTCCTCCGTCAACCACGCCAGCATCATCGCTTAAAGTTGGGCATTGCTGAAAAGTCAGGAAGCAAGCAAATCTCTAAAAACAAATTTGTGGTAAATGATGAACTCTTTACAGCCATACACTTTTTCAATCAAACTTTTACAGATGGAAGTTTAAATCATAAGAATCTCATTCCATTTAATTGGCTTTTATAGTGCTTCTTTTGACCATATTGTGAATGAGTAAATAAAATAGCCAGCTATATAGCCACAGTTATCTGAAGAATTCAGTGCTTTTCCCCTGGTGAGATAGGCTTTGTGGAGATAAATGGTAAAACAGCATCAGCCAGGTTTATATAGTGTTATTGAGCCACAGCTTTTTTTTTTTTTTCCAGGAAATTTATTAGTTGAGTCGAGAAATGGTTTGACTGTGTTTGGCAGTTGAAACAATTGCTTCTGTTTGGCATAAACAGGCAAATAATAATTAACAAACCTAAGTGATAGTTCTGGTGGGACGAAGGGTCTTTATCTACTTTGTACTATAAAACACTACGCATAACTGTCTCAAACTGTCATAATGCAGATTTTATGGATTACGGCAAATCTGTTGTTATAATTGAAGGCAGTTTCACTTTTCAATCTACACAATGTCAGTATGCTACTTTTTTTTCTGGTCACTTCATTTTCTCATCAGCTTTTCTTATTGATTTGTGATTTTCCAGCTACAAAACTGGAAGAGATGTCTTGTTTGTCTTGTGTATTATTAGATAACACGCAGGCTTCCCTTGGTGGCTACGTTTATCACATTTCCTCTTTTGAAGAGAAACGAAATCAGGTCAGCCCTTGTTGCTTTCCTGAGAAGAGTCTGTGAAATGGTAGCCAGGATTGTTTGTATGTTAGTTTGTTTCTTTAACGACGTTAGGTGACATAGCTGCAGTCTGTGTTTTAGCTTCTTATTTACGTGATGATGACGATGGCATTCTAGCTTGGTCACTGCTTTTCTCCTAAGGTCAGCTTATCTGTATCACTTAGACAGGTATCAAATCATTCGACCAAAATCGCAAATCGTTATTTTGCACCTGCTGTCTGCAAGACACTGTGCTCAAAGAGCTTATAGGCTATTTAGGGAATTAACGTTACGCAGGTGAAGGGATGTCATAAGGTGAGCTTCATTGCCAAACGATTCATATGGATTCAGGGAAGAGGACCAGCGCTTCACACTGGGATGCTCGGGGAAGGGTTCACAGCGAAGGACCCTACGGATGGGCAGAACTGAGGAGGAGGAGCCGGGAGCATCTTAGCGCATCACTGAGGGGAGGGGATAGACCCGTTTGACCACAGTAGAAATTTGCAGCCTGTAGAACACTAATCAAAACAACAACAACAAAAGAAAAAACACCAAAATACTGTCTTTAGTGCTAGAATGTGGAAAATCTTGAATATCGTGGAATTTAGATTTCTACTTGCAAAGCAGCAGGGCCTCATGGAAGCTTTTGGAGCAGAAGAATTGTAAATCAAAGTAGTTCTTTAATTAAAGAGAGGAATTCAATGGCAGAGCACATGATCTGATAAAGCAGGAGAGAAGAATTACGCAGACCAGATGGGGTGGAAAGAAAAAAGATTTTGTTTTTTCCATTCCATCTGGTCTGCCTAAAAAATATAGGTCCCGAAACAATACTTAATTGTTTTTCTACAGAAAATCCACCTCTGTGGTGGGACTGCCATATTCATTGCTTTGACTAAATGGACAAATTGACTTAAAGTGAATGGTTGGTTTAGAGAAACAACTGGTTTGAGCCACTTTCTTCCCATTGTATATGGCTGAATTGGGTTGTTTCGTCTTCCTTAGACACAGTGTTGCAGGCATGTCTTTGAGACTCTGGTTGGGCCAGCACATGCCTAGTAAACACTGGCTCTGGGCTAGACTGCGAGAATGAAAGGGGCCCCTTCACGCCAGGGGTTTATGTTGTAATCCAAGACACCGAGAAGAATATGGGACAACTAATAATAGCTAATAATATCCGGGACAAAAGCTTTGTCTCCATTGAAATGACAGTGACGATTCTCAGTGCTTAGGGAAAGAGAGTGGGAAACAGCAGTGCATGAAGAAAGTTCAGCACCAATCTTGTTTTTCCCCTTAAGGCTTTCATGGAATTCGAGTAAAATTTCAGGAACTCCTTGTATCTTACACATTTCCTTGTCTTCCTGTGCAACAAGCTTTGAAGCACAAATCCACCAAATGAACCTTTGGCTTGTAGTGTAGAACTACCTGAAACCCACTGGGAAAAGCTGCTTCGTAGGTCTTTTTACCAAAGTCATTTGGAGAAATTAAAATTATTAAGTCTTAAAATATACCCAGGGCTAGTAAAGTGCTAAACTTATTTTTGCCAAAACTGATCAAGCACGAGACTGGGCAGCACATTTTGAGTAATTTATACCTGGGGCTGTATTTCTGATGTAGGGCACTGAGGCATAACTGATTCCTGTACCTCTTTCCCACCGTAGATAGTAGTAAGCACCAGCATCGGGCAGGATTTGGAAAGCCACCACAATCAGACCATTAGGTAAGCGCCACCCTTCTTTTTATTCAAAATGTTGCTGGATGAATGTTAAAGAATCTTCATGCCTTAGCCCTCAACCCTAATGTTATTCCCACACCTCCTCATTGAGCTTTCCAAGCATGGACTAGTCTGCCCTATGGCTAGTCTTTGTACTTTTTTCCTTCCTTTTTACTGTCCACAAACTCCCCCGTTTCCCTCACAACCTTTTTTCTAAGCAAGAGAAACTACTTCTCTCTCCAGACCTCATTGTAAATTCTTTCTTTCATGGCACTTTGTATAATTCATTTTCTTTGAAAATTATCTTCTACAAAGGATTCTGAAAAATAAATCAAAATATTAATGTTGCTTATTGAGAATGGTTGGTAATGTTGGCCTAGTATAAAACATAAAAGCAGACAGCCTTCATATTTATGTTCATAATCTAAATTTGAAATGTATGCAACTATTGATATTGGTGTAACTTTTCATCTTTATAGAACTGTTCTCTACAAGAGGTACAGAAACTGAGAATTGGGTCCCTTGCCTTGTATTTCACAATTTTTGAATTTGCTTCTTTCTCCCTGTATAATAGTGGGTTTTATAGTGGAGAACCAGAGGGCAAGCTTCTTTAGGAACTCAAGATATCTCATCATGGCTTGATATTTTTTATATATGTGTGTGTATGTGTGTGTGTGTGAATATATATATATTCAAATGCTTAAGGAAAGTCTAAAGAACAGAAACAGAAATTACCAGTTTTGTATGTATAATTTTTTTAAAAAGGCATCAGGACTGCTGGGCACTTGGGCCAGGCCAGAGGGTCATTCTTCCATCCGGCAGCCGTTTGAGCCCACCACGCACAAAGCTGCCTTTCCAAACAGGCTCCATTCGCTCAGAGTCCCCTCGCAACCCACATTTCCTTAAAAGCCAATCATTACAGAAAGGAAAGCAAACAGGGGAGGAGGCAGGGGAATAAAAGGGCATACACTCTACTTCCCCCCCCCACCCCCGCCATTTCTGTGTACATTGAAGCCAAGCTGAGTCTTTTGAGGCTCTGGACACATAGAACAATTGTTATTCTCATGGCTGGATTAAAGGATTAGAGTTATACAGAAAGGCTAAAGAAGTGGCCTTCCCCAGCCTGCAAAGAAAAGGTCAGTGGTAACCTGATAGCTATATTGTAGCAGAGCCCGAAGACCAGAACAGAAATCTCCACGTGCGCCAAGTGGACTTAGACCAGGCCGAAAGAAGCGCACAGGTGGGAGCGCTGTCGCGGTTCGGGCGGCTGCGGGCTTCTCTGAGGACTTTGCTTTGGGGAAACAGATGATTGTGGCTCTTTGGAAATCCCCTGAGTGCCCTGGTTCGCAAAGGAGGCCCTGAAATTAGGGGTTCGTGTTTCAGGAGATGAAGCCTAAAATAATACCGTCCCCCTTTCTCCCTTGACACACGCCTCCAACCCCAGGACATTTATGACAACTGATTGAATTTCATAGGCTCTTTTTTGGTTTTTTATGTAAGAGCTTCCTTTTCTCCTCAATCCCAGAAATCCAGAGGCTGACATGGGTGAATCGTAGATGGAGAGATCCACAGTGTGATCCAGGGCTGGGATCGGGGTGAGGCAAGAGAGGCAAAAAGTTTACAAACCCTGTAGTATTATATTAGTTTGCCGGAGCTGCTGGAATAAAGTACCACAGACTGAGTGGCTTCAGCAACAGAAATCTATGGTCTCGCAGTTCTGGACACTAGAAGTCCAAGATCAAGGCATCAGCAGAGCCGTGTTCCTGTGAAGGCGCCAGAGAAGGGCCTGATCCCGGCCCCTTACCAGCTCCTGGTAGTTCTGTGACTTGTGGCAGCATAACCCCAGTCTTCACATGGCCTTCTCCCCATGTGCATGTCTGTCTTTGTCCAAATGTCCTTTTACTGTAAGGACACCAGTCATATGGGATTAAAGACCCCCAGTATGGCCTTTTCTTAACTGACTATATATCTGCAATGGCCCTATTTCCAACTAAGGTCAGATGAAGGGGTCCTGGGAGTCCAGACTTTATCCTGTGAATTTTGGGGGTACGCAATTCAACTCAGCAGTAATCCTGGTAAATAACATTTACCACAATTATTTTTTACAATCAAAATTAATGTAACGAATCCATGACGAACAAAATATCACAATGTTAAGAAAAGACAAAGCCACTATGGTCACAGAAGATTACAGAGATGCGGATGGACTGCCAGGGACACAGCAGTTCAGCACCCCAGTTAAAGTGTTGAAGGGACTCCTCACCTGGTGACCCCGGCAGTGCCCAGGCCGGACCGAGGGCGCGCGCGCCGCCACCGCAGTGGCCCGGCCGCGATCCCTGGAACCGCCCTCAGCAACAGAACAACTAAAGAGGTAACACCAGGCCCACTGGGTCCCTGCGTTCGATGTTTGGAATCCCACGTGCAGAGTGGGCCAAGCCGGTGAACTAAATATTCCAAATGTTTGTAGGAGATCCAAGGAAAGGCTTTAAAACCCCTTTCTAGTTGTTCTCGAAATGCAAGCATAATGGTCACAGCTCTCCCACCACGTTGCTATAGGAAGATCAGTCACTAAATGCTCGAAAGTGCAGTGCTGCTCACGAACAAGAGGCTGCCGGGAACGCTGGGTGACAGGCAGCAACTGCAGATCTGTGTAGCGTTCAATTTATCCGTCCACCCATCCAGTGCATGCTCACTCACCCCACCCGTCTGCCACATGCCAGGCACAGTGCTAGACTCTTGGATTAAATACAGCCAGTCCCTGCTAAAAAGCCTGGTGAGGGAAATAGATCTTAAACAAATTCACAAGTGAATGTAAAATTACAAGTTGCGGAGAGTACTGGGAAGGAAGGGAGTGAGGCAGCCTGAGAAGATGACGAGGGGGCCAGCGTTTAGAGCAAGTCTTGAGGAAATGATATTAAAGATGAGAACTACTCTTAAATGAAGCTCTTTCCTAATTCCGTGTGAGGTGTGTTGGACAACGCCGCCCATCGCCCATTTTTCCGGGCTGCTGCTACTCCGCAGTAATAAACTAGGGCGTGCTCTCATGTCCAGATAAAGAGTCGAGACAGTATGCCAGCGTGTCAGACATTTTTGAAAGGGACTGTTCTGGGCTTTGGAAGAGTCTAGCTCAGCTTATATGTCAGCGAAATGGATGACCATTGAGCAGTGCACAGTACAGTGAATCACTGTAATCCTTGTGCCGCCGCCGAGGATGTTAGAGGAGAGGAATGCTGGAGACCGTGATGGGGAGATCTCTTTGGTTATATCACAATAATGGTAAGGAAGACCTGAAAGTACAGTCCAGGGCCATAGGGACCAAGTAATTAATCGGTCAGTTAAAACCTCAGTTAAAGCAAGGATCATTTAAAAATGATGCCTTAAATATTTTATTTTAATTAAAAGGGAGAAACATACATTCATTTGCCAGTCTTTCTACATAGAGCCCACCCTTTGAGTGTGAATCTCTCGACTGGCGTTCTCTCTGATGATCTTGCACAAACAGCATGCCATCTCTGTACCTTCCAATGAAAAGAAAATGAGGACACTTGTGAAACTCTCAGAGCCCCAGATCCATCTAGGTGTCTTCGATTTCTTTTCCCAAACAGTTGTCTTAATTCCACACCACGTTTTTTAGTCACCATCTCTTTTTTTACTGAGTCTACCCAAAGCATTCAACTCAGTTTTTACAGAATGAACTTCTGCCCCAGCCACCGTATTTTATTGGGTGACCTGATATTTAATTAAATTGTATGATTAAATGATCATACAGTTGTCATTAAGAGGTTTGGGAACAAACACATCTTCCTCTTACTAAGCATGTAACTCAAGAGAGGGTAACAAAAGCTCAACATTGGACTAGGTTAGTAATCATAACCATAAAGGTATGGAGCCTGTTCTGTGCCAGGAGCTGTTCTAAATGCTTTGTTTAAATACTAGTTCATTTAATCCTCACAACAACCTGTAGACCATTACTGGGGTGATCTCCATTGATAAAATGAGAAGACTAAGGCTCCAGTAAAGAAGCACCCGGCACGTTGTGGGGGGGGGGGGGGGGGCGTTGGCGCGGGGGGAGGGGGATGGTTACGAGGAGTTCCGTAAAGAGAACTTTCACGGCAGAAGCATTGTTTCACATCCGCTGAGGGCCAGGTATTGTCTCAGGAGGATGGTTCAGCCCTTGCCAAGGCCTGGAAAAACAGAATCAGTTCACAGCTCTGAGGTATAATAAGTTTGAGGTCCCACATGAAAAAAAAAGGGGGTGGGAGACTCTCCTCTCTTCTCCTGGCCTTTCAGTTCTGCAAAGAGAAATATCAGGAGGTGAAGCCTTTTTTTCCATGTGAATTGCCTTTGTATAGAGCGTGTTTCTAAGTGTTCACTGTGGCTGCCTTCAGTTGATACTATCTGCAAATGCCCATTTTGTCACTCTTTTGTCTTCCTTTCCAGCCAGGTGTACCTGCTAAGGGTCAGGTTGCTTGCTCACAGCCAGTCCATCACCTCTCCTGGGATGACCCCAGGTTGCTTGGCTTTTCCTGATCCAACCGCTGGTAGCCTGCTCTGTCCCCACAAGCCTCGCCCGGCCTCTCGCCCCCGTGGCTCGCCAGGCTCCTGGCCGCCTGCCTGACATGTTGTGCTCTTTCTTTCCACTTCCATCTGCCCTCTGCACTCCCTGGCTCTTTGCTCTTCTCCTGGCTTCTCACTTGATGCCTGTCTTGGCCCCTCCCCCTTGCTGTTCACATATGCTCTGATTGCACCTTCTTGTTTGAATTTTTAAATGGTTTTAAAAAATCAAAATTGTATGAAAAGGTACACAGTGAGGCCCTGTCCCTGGCCGTTCCGTCCCCTAACCCCCTCCCCCTCCCTGTGCCGTGGGAAAATACTGATTTTTTTCCTGTATGTAGTTTTACAGTTTTTATGCAAATACCAAATACACACACACACACACACACACACAGACACACACACACACACACACCCCCATTCTCCTCTCTCCTAGATAAAAAGCATACCCTTTATTCTGCACTTTTATTTTTATTTTGACCTAACAGTGTGTTTGTGAGATCCCTCCAGGTCAGCACTCAGAGCCCCACGTGCTTTCTAAGCTGTACAGTAATGGAGCGCAGGGCCAGGCCCGTCGGAGGCTGCGGCTCAGCCTGCACTGAGAAAACACCTGGAGTTTTCCAGGCTTTGGTGAATATAATCAATGCTGCGAGGAGCAACGTCGGGCATTTTATTTGTGCTGACCCCGTTTTCCTTCCTGACCCTTTGAGTCTTTCAGGACACAGTGGACTTGCAGGGGATCACCTGTGCTGGCCTCTTCTTTTTGGCCAAGGCCTTTGACCTTAATGTGGCCCTCTCCTCCTAACTCTGAATTTATATAAGTTTTTATCTAATAGGATATGTTTTTGGTTTTCCTTCACAGATACCTTCTATCCATTGAAAAACTTTCTTTTTCCTTTTAGAGCAAAATAGCTCCAGTTATGACCAACAATTTCAAATAATTTTAATGATTCCAAACAGTTTCATCAGTTTCAACAGCCGGTCCTTTGTGACAGTGAGCCAGACACTTGGCTAGACATTTTATGTCTTATATTTCACTTAATTTTTTTAACAACCTTGTAAGTGAGGAGCTTAATTTACTAATGAGACAACAGTCTCAGAGGGGTTAAGCAACTGGTCCAGGGTCACACGGCTGGTAAACAGCGGAACTGGAATCTGAGCCCCACTCCGCCTGACCCCACGCCATCTCATCTGCTGGAGCCCAGAGTGAAGGGCTTACGCAAATTTGGGGTCTAAGTCAGTGAGGGTCGGTGAAAGAGTCTCTTTTTAAATATCTAGTTCAAACCCCTCAAAAGCTTTGTTTTTCTGTAGCTTCCGGGAGGATTTCCACTATAATGACACTGCTGGGTACTTCATTATTGGAGGGAGCAGATATGTGTCCGGCATCGCAGGGTTTTTTGGACCCCTGAAATACTACCGCCTCCGCACTCTGCACCCTGCACAGGTGAGCCCAGGGGATCGAGGTGCAGTTTGTGGGTGCTCATGCGTGCGCAGCTCAGGGGCCCGGAACCCCATGTAAACAAAAGATTTATTTAAGCTGGATCTCTCATCGCCTCTGTCCTTAAACATTATTAATATTGAGTTCTTTACCCTCGCTAACGCGATAATAGATTTCTGTTAACGTTTGGTTCATTTAGTACTCATAAAATGGAAACCATTTACTTCCTCTGTTTTAATAACCACTGGCTTAATTATAGAGTAGGTTTTTATCAGGCTGTTGCCTATCCAGTGATTAAGCTAATGAAAGGAGAGAGTCTTAGTTATTTGGTAAAGCTTCTTCTATATGCTGTTATTTAAAGTAGCAGAAAAGGAGCCAGTGCAGCAGATGAGACCCTGGGTTCCATTCACGGCTCCCTCCAGAAACGGCCCCGGCCCCCCGCTCACTGGCTGGCCCAGAGGGCTTTGTACCCAGAACTGCATCTGCTGTTGGGTGGTCTCATATCCAAAGCCCGCCTGCAGGTGGCGCTGGCCTGGGGACCTGGCCAGCGCCAGCAAGCTGCTGCCCCATAAGGGGGTTCTTCACGGCAGCTGCTTTTTCTGCCTGGGTGAGGAGATCACTGAATTCCTGAACAAGGAGCAGTCTTCCGTTCCCGTGACCCTGTGGGGATTGTTCTGGGAAAGGCAGGAGCCGTTAGACAAAGCCATGGAGCAAAAATGGGAATCCCTGCCACCCATGGGTGCACCTTAGTACCCCTGTTGAGAGACCTGCTACTTATTGAGCACTTACAGACCCTCATTATGTTCAATGTACTCTTTTTGTGTTCTACTTTACAAAAAAAAAAAATCACTTCTTGTTACAACCCACTAAGATGATTTCATGATCCTCTAAATGGATCACAATCTGCATTTTGAAAACCACTGAGTTGAAATAAGGCCTCTGTTCTAAGGGAGCTTCCTTATCTCTCAAGTCGTGAAAGACTGTGATACGTGCATTAATTCAGATGGGAGCACAGTGTTCAAGAGCATTGAGGCAGGAACATGGGCAAACAGGTGAGGGTGGGCCAGAGTGTTAGGGAAGCCGCCCTGAAGCAATGACCTTGAATCTGGCCCTTGGAAATGGAGTAGGAGCCTGCCAAGCAGAAGAAAATGGGAGAAGGGCTCCCAGTCAGCTCACTCAGCATAAGTAGACTGAGTGTCCCTTGAGAACTAGGGGGGAGAGGGACATGATTTTCTGGGGACAGCACGCAGCAGGGAGGAAGAAGAAGGTAGAGGCCTTGTCTCTGAGAGACCCCAACATTGAAGAAGCTCTATGGAGGAGATGGCCCAAAAGGAAGCGAGAAGGAAGTGGCCAGAGCCAGCATGTCCTTGGATCACACTCTCCCTTAGCAAATCTAGATCAGATGATCTGAGTACAGACAAGCCAGCTGGTGATATCAGTGGGAGAAGGAAGTCAACCTGAACACAGCCTCACAGGTATCAAAGAGTGTTCGATGACAGCTGTTGTTCATTCGAATTTTCTGCCTTCTTGTAGATTTTAAATCCCCTCCTTGAGAAGCAACTTGCTGAACAAATCAAGTTATACTATGAAAGGTGTGCAGAGGTTCAAGAAATAGTGTCTGTGTACACATCCACAGTACAGCAAGGGGCCGGGAGCCAAGAAGCATGTAAGTATTGAGTTTCAGGAGAGCAGCCTGTAGCTCTGTGCATTTGTTTGTGTCAACCTGTTTGGCTTCTCTCTAACGGGGTTGAAATGGAACATCTGTGACTTGACCAATGGAGAGAAGTATGACCTCCACAGGTGGATGCAAGTGAAAGTGTGCCTTCCACCTGGATTCCAACAAGACCCGCAGCCGCCAGCAGCCCCACCTGCCTCGTAGCTTCCAGCATACGTGATTTAGTTTAAGAATACAAATGAGAGTGTTTTGAGCCTTGCATTTCATTATTCCCATTCATAATGGGATCTTAGGCCAACCTAAGAAAATAAAAATGATTTGGAAAATAAATTAATCATTAGAAATGTTTCCCCATCGGTGCACTTTTGTCTTGGACCATTAATATCTGAATATTAGCTTTCAGAAATGTTGAACAATGACTTTGTTGTTCAGGGCTCGGTTTTATTTTTTAAATCCTTGGAATCGACTCAATCTGGAAGACATTGGTAATTTGCAACAGAAGGAATGAATTTCAAATAGACTGCTTTCATGCCTGCTTATATTTGCACGGACATCTTTTCACTCATATGGGGTGTTTATCTGTTATAAAACTTGGTCTGGTCTTGTCTTCCAATGTTCGAGCTTGAATCTGGCACTTATCAATTTCTCTGTGCCGTGGATCTTCTTGCTTGATAGGGTGGCAGTAGAGTTAGTCCCATATGTTTCTTCTGGAAGAGAAGTTCCTGTGGGGCCTTTGCCATCAGCAAAAGCAAATTGAGTATTTCAGTCCTGCCCACATATCTCACTGTCTCCAGAGCTGAACTTCCTGTTTCAGGCCACAGAGGAATGAATGGATGTGTCTTGAACATACCCCAGTCCAATAGGGTTTGCGTAAAAACAGTCCCAGGGAGTGATTAGAGATGGTGATAGGTAAACGTGGAAAGGCAGCGCTTCTGCAATTCAATTTAAGAATAGGCTATACTGGTCCCCAGCTGCTGCTCTCACCGCTGAGTCATCCAGAAAATACGATGCTGTCAGAGAGGGGGAAGATATATAGGAATAGTAATATCCTGAACAGGAAAGAAACTGATTTCGATAACTGATGAAATTTTAGGAGAGATAGCCTGAGTTGGAAGCCCAGCCTTGCACGCTGATCTGTTTGGGGGCCTTGGGGAGACTTTTCTAACATCTACTGCCTTGCCTCCCTGGGGGTCTTTGGGCTTTGCTCCTCAGCTCACGCTGCCAACAAAATGGCCTAGATATTGGCCTCCTGGGGACCAGTCCGAGGCCAGCTGCTCATTCTGCAGAATTATTCAACAGCCATCAGCAACTTTGGCACATTTCCCTTGGACGTGGCTTTGAATGTGTGACCTCAAGGCAAAAGCACCGTACCAATTTCAAATCCCTAATGCACCGCAGTCCATACCCAGTAAGGTTACATCTGACCTCTTATTTCTAGTTCTGCTTAGGGTAAAGGGGTGGAGAGAGGTGAGACTTACGCTTCCCTTTCCTGCAGGTGACCTGCAGAACTCCTACCTGGACCTGAGGCGCAGGTACGGGAGACCCTCAACGTGCAGAGCCTTCCCCTGGGAAAAGGAGCTGAGAGCCCAGCACGCCAGCTTGTTCCAGGCCTTGCTGGAGATGGGTCTGTTGACGGGTAATTGTGTCTTTGCCTTGCCTTTGGATGCTGGTTAGGAAGGCTCCCTGTTTTCCCACTCTTTCGCTCACCCTCTTTGGTGATTTATGCCTCCAAGTTATTTTTAACCCTAGTCTTCTAGCTTAACTTTAAATTTAAATTCTGCCTTGTCCACAGCCCTCAATATATTTATGCACATTTCCAACACTAAATACAAAAACTTCTATTTAGGAATCGCTTGAGCAATTCCTTTTTTTTTTTTAAGTTAATTTTTTTTTTTATCCTCACCCGAGGACATTTTTTCATTGCTATTAGAGAGAGCAGAAAGGAGAGGGAAATGTTGATGTGAGAGAGAAGCATCGACTGGTACTAGGGATTGCACGCACCTTGACCAGGGGCTGTTAGTGCCAAGGCTGGGGATCAGACTTAGAACCTTTTGGTTACTGGATAATGTTCCAACCAACGGAGCCCCACGGACCAGGGCTCAAGCAATTCTTTATTTAAAGCCAAGGCCACAAGTAGACAGCCTACAGCCAGAGCTGACCCCCAAATGTCATTGGTTTGACACACATATTGTTGCCAATTAAAAAAAAAATTGCCAGATTCAAAAACCTTGTGTAACAATGCAAATTTTTAGCTTTTCTCAAAAAAAAAAATTCAAAGGCCTGGCCGCCTGCCCTACGTGGCAGCCATTCCGGAGGCGTGTGGTCGGCCCCCGCCTGCAGGGGCCGCTCGCGGCCTCTTCTCTCTGGGCTCCAGCACCACCTGCCTTCATGAATCCTACTTGCCTGGCCCATAGGCACGCGAATGGGAGACCCCTGATTTAAAGTGCACTTTATGTAGCATCTTGAGAATATTCCCACGTGTGGCCAGCTCCTCCCTTCTCAATGTGGCTTTGCTGACACCCTGTAAGGCCACAAGGTTGCTTGAAGCCACATCTGTTAGAAAGGAGAAAAGCTGGAGATGTTCAGGGACCGGGATACAAAGATGGAATGATGGTAACTGTTGTCGTGGTCAGAGGCAGCCCGCGGTGCACCTGATATACAGCTAGACCCTTGAGTCAGGGCATTGCAGAAACTGACTTTTTCATGTAAGAACTTGCATTCAAGGGGATGGATTTCCACTGCAGACAGTGACCCCCTCCACTGTCTGCAAAGAATTCCATCCATACGCGAAATTTCATCTTTTGTTCATTTGATGCTTATGGAGTGGCCGCCTAGGTACGTGACTAGACCTCAGAGGTAGGTAAGACAGTACAGGGTCCCTGCCCTTGAGGGACAGACTTGAGAGCAAAGGAAAAAAGTAATGCATTTGAATAAAGGCCGTAGAAAGAAATGGCAAAAGGAGGGAATGATCAGTTCTGCCTGGAAGGCTGGGATGTTCAGAGAAGGCTTGCTAGTGGAGTGACTCTGGGACTGATCCTTGAAGGGTCAGTAGGTGTTTAGCAGGTAAGTAAGGTGGGGGCGGGCCCTGCAGGCAGAGTAGCTGCAGGGAGGCCGGGTCAGCACAGCAATTGTAATGATGTGCAGGGCGTTTGCGGGGCAGGAGGAGGCCTGGAGAGGGAGGGTTCCCACCTGCGCGCAGATACCATCCTGAAGAGTTCGGGTTTTTCCTTGCAGGTGAGGACAAGGACCTGGTTTCACTCCGGGGGTAGAGGTGGGATCAGACTTGGGTTTTTGAGGTCGCCCTGGCAGCAGTAAGAGGTTGGGGGAAGCAGGGGTATGGAGCTGGAAGCAGGCGTCCTTTGTCGTGGTCCAAGGGGGGAAGATGCAGGCCTGAATCGAGTTAATAAAGGCTGTAAAGAGGCTGGCCCTGAAGGACTCCTTCAGAGTCAGGCAGGGGAGGCTGCGTGGAGTCGTGTGGCAGCATAGCCTCTGGGCCCAGGCGGCCTGGCTCTTGATTTTAACTTAGCTCTTAATGGCTGTGTGCTCTTGGGCAATTACCTTACTCCTCTGAGCCTCAGTTTCCTCCCCCGCATGATGGGGGGTGACAATGGTTCCTCTCTCAGAACAGTATAACGACACACAGTGAGCTCTTTGTGAGTAGTACTTCTTACCCTTGGCACTATGGACATTTTGTTGTGTGGGATCTGTCCTGGGCATTGTGGGATGTTTAGCTGAGCTTCTGGCCTCCACCCACTAGATATCAGTAATACTCCCTCCCTCCCTTCCTCCCTCCCTTTCTCGAGTTGTGACAACCAAAAATGTCCTCAGGCATTACCAGATGGCCCCTGGCTGAGAACCACTGCCATGTAAGTGTTAGGGATGTTACGTTGGGGCAGAGACAATACCCAGGCTGTTTTTGGTCCTCTGGGAGGTGGTGGACCACACCCCACAGCACAGGCAAACAGGAGAGGAGGGGGCTGCGCTGGATTGTGCGTGCAAAATGGGTTTTATGAGATTTCTGATCATATTTAAATGTCATTTTGCTGATGGCGAACGCGAGCAAATCATTTTCACGATTCTTTTCAAAGTAAATACTCTCAATGGAATGTTTTCATGTTCTTTTTCCAGCTCAGAAGTTTTGTCTGTAAAAATTTAGAATCATTTTCCTTCTCTGTAGAAGTCTGGAAATGGAATTTAATTAAAAACCCAAATCATGAGCTCCCAAACCCCAAGACTCTGTGGGCTGCGGTGCTGGGTCTCCGTCCCAGCGCAGCCCGGCTGAGGACACTGCTGGCCCCAACCCCCGCCCTGCCTTCTGCCCTGTTTTTCTCCGTTTCGCAGCCCTGTCCAGAGGCCTGGGCGGCCTCTGCAGAGGGAGGGCACGGAGTCCTCATTAAAATTCATCTCTGCCTGGCGCAGGGCCCTTGCTGGGGGCTGCTGTCACGGCGCCCTCCCGCCAACCCCGGGGAGATCGCTGTCAGACATTGTGCCCATTCCCCAACGAGGCGGGGAGGAATGCAGAAACTTGGATTTCGTAAATCGAGGGTAAAAAATAAGTGCATATTTTTTAACACATCTTTCCTCTGATCTATAAAAAGAATAGTAGTAAGACTGTGTGACGATGTATCCATTCCTGGTTTCTCACATACCCTCCTTGCCAAGTTCATCCTGCCGTAAGAGCCTCGCTGGCTGTGGGGTGCTTTCAGCAGCTCCAGTCAGTAGCAGCTCTGTTTGCCTGGTTTTCTGCGGCCGCCCTGAGCTGTCCAGTCTGTTGGCTAGTGGACTTTTAATAAAGTCCATCTTCATCGTACTACATTTTTCATCTCTGAGACAAGCTATGAGAATGGAGGCGAGGATCAGCTGACTGAGGCTTGGAATTCTTGCTGTGGGAACGAGTAGGTGCCGTCCTGGAGATAAGGAGCTGAGCCGTGTGAGGAATTTCTTAAGTCCCTCACATCACAACGCCGTCCATTCATTCACTAAACAAGTATTGACCGCGTGCCATCTGTGCGCCAGGACAGGACAGCGATGGGGCCGTGCTTATTTACCTTGAGGTAAATATAAAGAAAATAGCGAGTCCCCTAATGTGTAGAAAGGGAATGAATTGCTATGTGGAATTCTCTTTTGCTGGCATTTCGAAGAAAGGAAAAAAAAATAAGGCAGTGTGAGACAGTGGCCTGTGATTCCCAGTTCTTTGCGACGGCATCATCTCTTTTCTTGGCAGCCTCTCCTCAGCGAGACGGCCGACGCCATTTCCAGGCCGCCGCGCGCGCACACACGCTTCAGGCTCCAGAGTGTTTTCCCCCCACACGGTGCGATCTGAGGCGGATCATCTGCTCTGTCTCTGAGCCAACAGCACACACTTCAAAGGGGCCGTGGGAACATTTCAGGGGGTGGAGAGTCAGAAGCTTGGGCTTTGTCAGCAACCGGCAGAGAGGGTGTGATGGAGCGTCCTCTGCATTCCGGCCAAGCGAGGTCAGGAGTGTCCCTGCCTTCCCGTGTTCCCGAAGATGGAGCTGTGTGTCCTCCTCCAGGAGAGAATCCCCAGGTGTTTTTACACCCTCAGTCTCAAGGGGCTATAATTAAAATCATATACATAGTTTGTGTGGGAAAATACAAGTCACATAAAATTACCTGTTGTATCCCTTTTAAAGTGTTCTGTTTCGTAGTGTTAAGGACATTCACATTGTCCTCAACAGATCTCTAGAACTTTCTCATCTTGTAAAACTGAAACTCTGTACCCACTAAACAACCACTCCCCATCCCCCCTCAGGCCCTGGTACCCACTATTCTACTTTCCGTCTCTACGAACTTGACTGTTCTAGATCCCTGATATAAGTGGAGTCACTTAGCAGTGTTTGTCGCTTAGCATGAAGTCCTCAAGGTTCATCCATGTTGTGCATGTGTCAGAATTGTCTTCCCTTTTAAGGCTGAATAATGTTGCGTGGTATGTGAACCACATTTTGCTTATCCATTTATCTGTTGACGGACGTTTGGGTTGCTTCCACCTCTTGGCTGTTGGGAACAGTGCTGTTACGAGCGTGGGTGTCTTTTCAGGACCTGGAGCTCGGTTTTTTTTCAATATACACTCAGAGGTGGGATTTCTGGATTGTGTGATAATTCTACCTTGAATTTTTTGAGGAACCACCATACTGGTTTTCATAGTGGCTGCATCATTTTAGGTTCCCACCAACCGTGCACAAGGGTTACAATTTTTCCACATCCTTGCTAACACTTGTTATTTTTCTGTTGAGTTTTTTTTTTTAATAGTAGCCAGCCCCATGGGTATGAGGCATAACTTATGTTTATAATTTATATACTGGGGAAAGTCTTGTTTAATAGCAATTAAGAATCATGCTGTCATAAAGCGACATAATGTCTGTGAAAGAGCTTCAGGGATAGAAAGATACCATGTGGATATGAGGGACAGGGATGCGCGAAAAGAGCTCATCTCACTCTGCCCTGGATTACAGCCATTTGAGCCTATGTGTGCCTCTGTCACTCGCGCAGTTGCAGGCTTGTTGAGGGTCGTGCACACAGTGTAAAGTATCCCACTTAAACTTCTAATTCTGCACAATGCCTTCACAGTGCTGGGCACACGTGAGCTGTTTAGTTATCCGTTCTTCTTCCACAGGA